GATCGATAAAATTCATAAATTCAAAATTTTACTAATGTACAAACAATTATTGTATTATGCAACATCTTAGTATTGTATTAATTTCATTAATTTCGCAATCAATTATTTATTAAAGAACACTCGGATTTCTGTCAAAATATATATTTGATTCAATTATTATTCCCATAATAGAAATGAAGTTCCAAGTTTCAAAAAATAACGTAAAATGAGACATTGAATTTTTATTTTAACGCCTGCATGCAAATCAATGATTATATAATACTATTATTTATGTAATTCACGAAAATCTTCAATTTATAAACATTGAAATCCTTTTCAAAATAGATAAACAATAATAAACATTTTGTTTTCACAATACATATTACATTTGAAATCATTGTTGTCAAAAACAGTAAAAAGGTAATCGATTTTTGTTCTCAGATCGACTCGTTTCAAAATTCGATTTAATCTATTAATAGAAATCTATGAATAGAAATAATTGTTGAATAGGGAATTCTGTCGTGTCACCTTGAAAATTTTACAATCCTATTTCTATTTTGAGTTTTGTAAAACAGTATATTCATCCTAAAAATTGAAACGACAAGAAAAATTTTTAGGAAATATGTTTTCTTCTACAGAGGAATGAATCTTTAACAAAATATCTAGTATCGCCTAATAGCGTGAACTAATAATTTAATCGTTAATAAAACATTTTTATGGTTTTTTTTAAATCTAATTGTTTTTTTGCCAAATATTTTTTTTTTTTTTTTTTTTTAACGATGTGGCACTGCCAGTAACTTTATTAAATTTATATAACATACAAGAGTAAATTTTAAAAATCTATATACAAGTACTAGCTACCCCTCGTAGTTATCTTTCAAACCCGTTTGGATCGACCTATCATCGTCCTTCCCCTCCAACAAACCCACTAGATACGTACCTAATGACTATTGTTATCAATGAGAAAGGATGTTTTTGCCAAATAATAAAATACAAAAATTAATATTAAATTGCGTAATTTGCTATGGATTTTGGAATCCTTAGAACCTTTTTTTTTGAATTTATTGACGTCCTGAGCGGTCTTCATGAACCTAAATTCGCAACTTTATTGTGAAAGATGTGATTTGATTAAAACATTGATAAAAAAATTTATTTTGGTGTTACAATAAAAAATAATATTTTAGGCACTTGCATAGGTACAAATGGCAAAGTCAATCCTTTTATATGAACAATGTTACGGGCGTACGAAAAACTAGAAATTGATGAGTTTTTTTTTTTGTTTTTTGACGAAACCGCTAATTCCCCTTTCACAAACGAAAGAAGAATATTTCTTTTCCTTTATATGTCCCACATCCATAGTTAAGTACGGCGAATTCCAATAAATGCAAAGCAAAAAAAAATATAACGTGGTCATATTGGCCTTAGTTGATTGATTCACGCGCTGACCATTGGGAAATTCGGTCTAATATAAATTTAATTATCAAACTCGACGCTATTATTATGTCTTTATGATAAACCGAATGAAAGGTACATAAGCTATAATGAAAATATTTTTCATTGTATATAAATTATTGTTTGACAAAATAGAATTGGTCAGATACACAAAAACTCAAACACAATCTTGAAACCAACTTCCGATAAGTTCGAAATCACGAATATCATAATATCGCGATACCTAAAAATCCTGTTACCTAGAAAGAACTTTCAACATTTATTGTCAGTTGTTCAAATAAAGTAAACCAAAATTTGGATTTCCTTTTTGAACTTCGGAACTAGTCACGTGACTAGGCGTTTGTATCGTAACAGCCCGTAAAAAATGATAGCCGGATTTTATTTGTCGGGTCACATATACTTATTAGGGTGACAATAAGCATTTTTCTCAAAATAATTTCTGTCCCCGAGAATAAATTGAAGAACGGCGGGGATGTGACGCGATGTGACAATTTGCTAACCCCTTAAACTAATCCTAATTCTACCCTAATCCTAATCCTAATCCAAACCCTAACTCTATTATTAACCCTAATAATAAATACGGCAAATAAAATCCGGCTACCATTTTTTACGGGCGACGCTGTGTTCGTCATATTATTGGTCGAATGTCACGTGTCAGAAGATCTTTGATGTTGAGTTAGCAAATTGTATAAAAATACTATGTTTTATCGTCTGAAATTGGAAATTGTTTATAATTTTTTTTTGAAATAAAAGAGAATATGAAAACATACTCAAAGTGGGTGAATTTAAATTATAACAAATTTATAACTTTTTTTTTGATATATAAGCAGATCATTTTTGTTATGTGATATTTAATGCAAAAAAATAAATTTTCGTTTTGTAATTTTATTTAAATTTGACTAAAAAGAAATATAAACCAATTAATTATGTTGCTATTTAGAGTTGATTCGTTCTTTTTTTAGTTGCCATACAACAGAGTTACACTGCATAATCTACCCGAAAGGTGTTTTAAAGATTTTTTTTACGTTTTATTCATAATTTTTGCATTCATTATAGCATTATAAAATATACGTTTTATCTGTGATTTTTACATCCATTAAAGCATTATAAAATATACATTTATCCATGATTTTTCATTTTGTTAAAGCATTATAAAATATACAATTTATCCGTAAGTTTGCATCTGTTAAAGTATTATAAAATACACATTTTATCCATGATTTGCATTGCGAGATGGAAGGTATGGATATACTTCTTGTGAAGTATCAGCTATTGTAGATTGAATAATTTGTACAGGTTTATCATTAGTTTGTTGTGCACGCTCTTTTAATACATTAATAGTTTTTATAACGTTAACCCGACTGGCTTCTGCGGCATGATTGTGATCAGAAGCATGTTGAAGATAATGTTGATCTTCAATTAATTTAGTAGTTGCCCGCCCACGACATTGTAGTAAATTACGTTTTTCACAAGACCAGTAATATAAATTTCTTCGATTTTTGTCTTTAATCATAAGATAACCATGAACATTAAGTTTATCTTTATTACGAATAGAAGGCACAACTTCACAGATAATATTATTCATTGAGAAAGTTAGATAAAAATAGTAAAGTAAAAAAATAGAAAAGAGAAGAGTTGTTTGATCTACGTTAAATAGGGGCTATCCTTAAATAATTAATATTTGGTTGTCGGTAAAATGATCATATTAGTAAAATAATTATGTCGGTAAATTGATCATGTCGGTAAAGTAATTGTAGGTTGTCGGTATAATGATCGTGTCGGTAAAATGATCGTCGGCAAAATGTTTGTCGATTAAATTAACGGGTCCCATCCGGGTCACCTGGGTCAAGGAAAAACGTGACCCTGACCTGACGGGTTTTATCGAATTAGGACTCGTGTCATAAAAATGATAAACCTGACTCGAGAAAAAATTCGAGTCAGGTCGACTCGAGCACTAGTGGTGAGAAGATATAAAGAAATATTATTTTTAATTTAAATTATGATTCTTGGAAATTTATATAAAATTCCATGTGACATGACACTAAAAAATGCGTTAAATATTAAAGTTTGAGATTTTAATGATTTTGTTTTGATACTCATGTACTCATGCTGATACACTTTCTTGACTTCTTAGCATTACATGAAACGATATAATACGTAAAAGCTGTAAATGATTGATCAATAACAGTACATTATTAATTGCATTTGGAAATTATTTTGTTAATAAACTTGTTGGTTTTTGACCCTTACTTTATTTAAATACTTGGTTGTATGTTTACCAGCTATATACTCTTAGGTAATTTTATTACAAAAAAAAAATTAATAATAACCTTCACTTTTGGAAATCAAATTTTTATTAATTAAATTGAAAAGTACTAAATTAGTCAACCCTTACAAATATAAAAACGGATTTTACCCATTTGTTATTCTATGATCCGGATACCTATACTTATCCGGGTATACTCGTGTTGTACCCGATTTATTGGGTAATGAGTCTCAGCTCTATCAAACATGCGATAATTAAATTATATTACTATTAAACGATCGGTAAACTGTTCAATCAAAGTCGATCGGTCAAACGGTCAGCCTTTGACCGACCATAATGTGATCATAATTTCATGTAAAACCTAGACAGGTTAATTTTATACAATTGTATAATTCCAAATTGATAAATTTAGAAAGCGATGACTTTTACAGTTAATAAATAATCATATTTTTCAAACGTAACGTAGTGTGGATTACAAGTAATTATTTTATTTAAATAAACATATACTATACAAAATGCATGTATTTATCCTTTATTAACTTGAAATACCTCATAACCATCTACTTGAAAGTGATCCTTCGGAATATCAATTTAAGTATAAGCATTTGGGTTATTAGCATACCAAACATTGGATCTGCAATCCAAATAAAGATCGTTACCATAATTACTAGAAGAATAACCAAAATATGGACCATAAATTGAAGCACAATATACAGCATAATGAACATCATCATCTTTAATATAACCTACTTTTGCAGTTTGAAGGTTTGTTCTATTTACGAATGAGAAAAGAAAACTATCTTTGGTAGCTTTCCATTCTTTTCCTTCCCACCCAAATGGAGTATACCCTCCCACTATTTGTTCCGTTCCGTTAATTTTTATTACGACTATATTGCCCCCTTTGTTATCACATTTTTGATGAAATGCTGCAATTGTATTACCATCCCTACTGGCACGATAAAGTAAATTATAATTATAAGGTGAGTTCTTGGCATTATAATGCAAATAA